GGGTCTAGGCCCAAAATGTCAGCCTTCCTGCTCCTCTGATGCTGCTTGGCCTGCTGTGTTCATCCAGCTCTACACCTTGTTATCTTAAATAAAATTCAGACAGGTATTCAGACCCCATCCACCAACCTAAACCAGTAGCTGTTTACAACTTAAATCTTTCAATTTTAACTACATTAACTGAATAAGGAGAAATTGATTAAAGCTTTCCTTTGCAAGCACATATTAAATGTGCTGTTGAATTATATTGCAGAACTTGTCAATACAGTCACAACCTGCCTTTCCAAACTGTACAAAATTGGTGCCAAATTTTCAGCAACCACTTAACATTTGGTTAGCATTGGTACAGCATGCATTTCAACAAGCAGGTAATAGTTCCACAGGGAAGCTCTGCAATATTTTTTAAGCAATGCAGAGACTTCTAGAGTTAACAGCAGCTTATAATGGACCAATCTTCTACACAGAAACCAGTCCCTCGTGTTTTGTACTGTACTTACCTCTTCAAGGAAGTGCCTTTATTTTAATTCTGTCTACAACGGAGATATTATCTCAAGGAATCCCACACAGGCATGGCAGCAAATATTTACAATTGGTTTACAATTACTTTTAGAATAACATGGGGAGGAGTACAAAGACAGACTAAAACAATAAAACAAAATCTAGCAAGTCCTTACCTTTTTGCTTTTGAATTAACTTTTTTCCATTCATTAAATCGAGGGTTAGAAGCAGTACATTATACACTACCACACTAGCTTCCTGCCTAGTAATTAGGGAAATACTTTAGGGATTTTGGCTGATTAAGGGAAAATCCTAGCTTCCATATATGATGATGGTAGGTGTTAATATTTGGGATCCCACATTCTATTATGAAGATATCACTGGTTATTATGTCAGAATAACTGCACTGATGCAACAGCAACTTCCTGTGACATCATAAAGCAGTTCAACTACTTTCAGTAGTTCATACCAACATTTTTTACAATTCAAATCTTGATTATATAGTTTGAACTTCACCGGTGCAGTCTCAATTGTACACATGCATCCAAACCTGTGGGATTAAAACAATTAAGTGGGTATGACCTTAAACCAGAGGAGTCACAAAGTGATTTAGGATGGATTAAAAGATTAAGCACTTAACCAGAAAAATGGTCCAGTCATAACAATACCGCAACTCTTTCTTTTCTCTCTCATTCACAGTATCCATTATTTGACCATAGAGTTTACTAACATGATCAAAATTGCAAAAGATTAAATACTGAAATACTCTGAACATGAAATGATCAGGTGTTGTTGTTTAGGAATAACACACCTAAAACTTTGGTGAAACATAGACTTAACAAGCTGATTAGTATTGCTTACTACATTTTATTACAACACAATATACTACAAACAAATGCAAAATCACGTTTATATGAAATTACAGTGAACTTCTTCAATCTTTTAAAAGGATGCACATGATACATTCTTTAATAAATGCAGTAATGAAGCTCCATGGAAATGAGTTAAAATCTACAATAGACAAATTTTAACATGATTCTACAGGATAACCCACTTTATGCTGTTCTTGTGTGCGATTTCAGTGTCAATTCACTGTACATTCAACTAAGCATCTATTTACAGTACAGCTTATAGAAAATTTGTATTTTCATTCAAAACAGTTTGAAATTCCAGATTTTGCTGAATCACAATCACCGGATCAAATGACAAGTTTATTTTTCCCCTCTTACAAATACTTTCATCATAAGATCAGGTACAAGGCACAGAGTAAAGACACCATGTCTGCAGATGGAACGGAATGAATTTACTGTATTACCATTACCTGAACACTCTTACCAAACATTGTAAATATTCAAGAATAATGTGAATACAGTAAAAGTGTACACTGCATGTGGATAAATGTTACATATATGCTGATTGTTTCACTTTCATCGCAATGAAGAGAGTTGGGAACAGACCGTAGTATAATAAAGAGACAGGCGATGTACACTGAACAAGGATCATTAAAATATTTTTGCCATTACAAAGTATTTGTCTGTGCTCTAATTCAACTGCATATTTTTACCATTCACTTTCTGTATCAATGTTGTTCTTCATAAAAGTTTGATGGAAAACTTGTTAAGAATGTGAAACAGAATGGGATAGAGAAGGGACACAATCCCTTCTAAAGGAGGACAAGCAACAATTAGTAAGAAACTACTTTAGGGGAAAAAAAAATTAAAGACTAGACATCCAGCAGCAATAGCATAAAATCTCAAGCAAAATGGTCAAATAAACTGCAATGATTAAGTTAACAATTGCATTTTTTTTTGAAAATTAGATTCAAAAATGTTGTAAAATGTCAGGCCATTAAAGGTTCGTTTTGGGTGCAACAGGAAACCCAGACAATGGCATACTGAAGGGATTTAATTTCCCAAAAATCCAATAAAATTATGGAACTAAATAAAAACCAGAAGAACTGCAGATGCTGTAAATAAGAAAAAAAAAAAATCGGAAATTGCTGGAAAAGCTTACAGGTCTGGCAGCATCAACCGAAGAGAAATCAGAGTTAACGTTTCGGGTTGAGTGATGCCTTTCTCAGAACCTGAGGCAGTTCTGAGCAAGGGTCACTTCACCCAAAACGATAACCCTGACTTCTCTCCACTGATGCCACCAGTTCTGCTGAACATTTCCAAAAAAATATGGGCCCATTTGATTTAGATAAGTCTTCAATATTCCATGCCACACTCATGTATAAATTTTTACAATAAATATCTCAATGACAGACAGATAAATAAGATATTACATGAGCTACACATTCAAAGTATACTGTAGGTTATAATAAAAATGTTTAAGGTACATGGTGGTTAAAGTAGTCAGAAAACATTATATATTTCTCAGGTTACAATGGAGAATAATCACCTGAATGCACTTCAATGGCCTAGTACATTGGTCTTATAGTTTGAAAGATTCATGGTTCAGTTTCCAGGAGTTCATTGGGTTAAAGAGGGTTGACAGAAACATATGGAACATTAAAGTCAGACATTTCAGCATGTTTGGAAAGATATAAAATTTTAAAAGTGGACTTGCACAAGAGAAAAAAACTGCACAAGTGATAAAGTAGATGTCGTCCAAAGTACAAACTCAGGACGTTGTGCTGCTGTTTTACAAATGCAACTTTATTTAAACCAATCATGCATTAAATGTTAGTTTCTACGCTGCAAAAATCCAAAACAGCTTCAATTTACATTAAATGGAATCATAAATAAATATCTTCAATGTTATACTTTAGCCTTGTATTATTGAATTTCTCAGTTAAGTTACCACCAAGTGTTAATGCTGCTTTCTTAAAAATGAAAACTTGAGCTGTCTTGGTTTTCCCTGTAAATAGTAGAAAGAAATGAGCTTTAAAGTTTCTGGCCAGTAAATGTATTTTCTATTACTGTAGAATGTGGTTTGAATGACATTATAGAATAATAACTATTATAAATTAGAAGTCTGAACATGGTCTGGAATAGATTAGTCAAACTGCGAAAATCAATCGAAAGGCAAGGAAAAACAAATGAGTCGCATGGTTCTTTTAAAAATATATAGAGCAAATGTCAAACAAGCACACCATGAAACATGGCAAACTGTCACAAAACAAGAGTTAATTACGCCATGGAGACAAGTCTGTGACATGGACAGGAGCGCTTACATGGCACATGCAATTGGTCATTCTGATGTTGGTTTGAATTTTCAAGCAATCTGGTTCTCATCCTCTATGTGAACTGTACTGGAGACAGCAAGAAGAGGCTGGGATGAACTGTTAGTGCTCTGGCTTTTCAAGCTTTCAGTCGAGTCTGAGGTTCCTGCAAAAAAAAACCTAACTGAAAAATCTCAGACTTGAAATGTGTGTAATTTAGCCAAGTGGGTAGGACTACTTCATATTCAATACTATACATTTGTTATAAAATACATTTACTCCCTTTGGGAAGATAAAGCACTATTTGTCATTTAATCATATACAAGTGACGTGACAATGTGATTACATTTCACATTTTCATGGAGATAGTACCTCTTTAATAAGCTATTCTATTAATTAAGTCAGAAATAGCCATAACTTCAATCTCTCAATTTACAAATTATGAAATGAAAGGCAATTAATAGAAGCTGAGTTATCCAAAATTTCATCATCTAGTTATTGAAATTTAATTTCTCCAAGTGTTTATTTGTCTTCCAACTCAAAATTCAATTCAAAATAATCAATCAACTCTTTAAAGAAATGCTTAGATGAGGTGCATCCTTGAAAAGTACCAAAAAAAGCTAACAAAAATTATTCAAAGGCAATGTCAAGGATATTAAGTTTTATTAAATTCTGATACAGTCTTGTTGGTGATAACCACAGCTGTGTGGCTACTTTAGCCTCATTTACGTATTTTTAAGTGGAATATGTTTAAAGACGCTAAGATTTAACAAACTGCAAATGCTTTGAATGTTAGGGGTGGATGGGGCAGTGAGATGAATTTGTTTATTTACGAGTAACAACTGGAGATAGAATTCTTAGCTATTCCATTTCTTGAACATGTACGTGTAGACAACCTTTTACCCCATTTGTTAAAACAAACAGTAATTGCACAAAACTGTCCATGGCTTTACACAAACTAAGTGACTTAAGGGAAACCCAAGATATTTCAAAGTTCTTCTCATTATGAAAACAATTGTGGATAAAGGAGCAGCAGAACTGGGCTTATTACCTTTAAGGGCTATTACAGATTTTAAAGATGGACTAATGTTTTGTGGGTATACATTGAATAATGATGCACATTTTCATTGCTTCATCACAAAGTAAACACCAGGCACAGCATAGCAGACAACTGAGTATTTACAGAGCACCTACATATGATTGCTATTTATATTTAAGCAAGTTAGATTATAAATTTAAGAGAGACCGAGTAGAAAATAATACTGCAGTTTGACAGAAAAAATGGCAGCAGAATAAAGTTGTTACAGAGATAGTAGGAACTGCCGATGCTGGAGAATCTGAGATAACAAGGTGTAGAGCTGGATGAACACAGCAGCCAAGCAGCATCAGAGGAGCAGGAAAGCTGACATTCCTCTGATGCTGTTTGGCCTGCTGTGTTCATCCGGCTCTACACCTTGTTATAGCAGAATAAAGTAATTGTTTGCAATTAAAACAAAGTATTTTAACCCTATTTTAACCCAAATCAAAAACACAGTATTTTTCCATTGGCACCTAAGGTATTCTTTTAATTAAGTCAGAAATTGTCATAACTTCAATCATTCTCATTTTGCCAATTATGAAAAGAAAGGCAATTGACAGAAACTGAGTTATCCAACATTTCATCATCTAGTTATTGAAATTCAATTTCTCCAAGTGTTTATTTGTAGGATTATTCATTAATCTCAATCTGAATTCAGAATCATCCTGGCAAACTAAACTAATCATACTTAGACAAGGTGCATCCTTGAAAAGCACCAAAAAAAACCTAAGAAAAATTATTCAAAATTGTTTGAAAAATAAATTAATAAACTATTTATCATGCTTAATTAGATATTTATTTACTGTACAATAGTCTTCCCAACTGTAATTTATATTTTTAATAATATTGACATGTACATGACATCAAACTCTGCTAGTAGGGACTGGGATTTTACTGAGCTGTGGCACAACACACTGGGAGATGAGTGGACAGCAACATCAAAAGGATTCTTCAATACAAAGTCCTCATTTAAAATTTGCCCTGTTTAACAATGTTTTACTTTAACGATAAGTTTAAGCAGCAAGTTAGTTAATGCTGCCTGTAATCTTGTTGAGCGTCGTGAGATTCAATTGAATGTAGTTTCCTGCATGACCTGATTGACACCTCCCCTTACAACCCTTTATCTGTTCTGACTAGGCAGTTGTGGGCTCCGGGATGCTGCCTCTTCCCCCTACCTGACTCACCCATAAGTCTCTTCCCTGTCCTTGTGGTTCTGTTGATGATCAAGATTCAATTTGAAGCTGGAGCACCGATGTCTTGAAAATGAGAGTCCTGATGGTTCAGAAGTGCTGAGGCTTTTTGTCAAAAGACTTTCAAAGCTGCTCCTGCCTCACTGCTCATCTATCAAGACCTCACTCACAGCAAATCAGAAGTAGAAAGCAAATTTGTTTGGACCGAGGCCATTTTTCCATAGTAGCCTCCCAGCAAGGGGAGAGACTGCCAGCTGCAGTGAAGAAGCCTCTTTGCAAATTCCCTAGGACACTGTGTGACAAGCATCAATAGCTATCTGCTGTGGCCTCCAATGTTGCCATCAGAGAAAGGGTACGCTTGTTTGTCCCAGCAGAAAAGTGATGTTCCAATTTCAGGATTGTCAAAGGCTGCATGTATGGCTGAAGCTGCATGTAAGGGCACCAAAGTACTATTAAGAGGAGGACCTACACAGGAATTTTCTGAGGGATTTAATTTTCTGCTGGTCAATTTCCTTACTCCCTGACACACTCTGAATTAGAGCAGGATATTTTGAATATTTCCATGGTACTTTCTACAGAGTTAGCAGGAAATGTGAGATACATTAAAATCTAGTCTAACTGATCACCCTCACCCATTTATACTAATTAGAACTGGGGAGACATTCTGGAGAAATGACATATAAGCTTACAAAATGAAAGGGCAAGGCAGCATTATAGGGCAGCTATTTAGATAACGCTTTGCAGAATGGGACTGAGTGAACAAACATTGAAAAAAAAACTAGTGAGGTGTCAAAGGGGGGGGAAATAATTACAAAAAGTCAAAATTAGTGTCTCTTCACTTAAATGCACATAATATTTGAAACAAAACAGATCAATTAACACCACAAACATAGGTTAATGAATATGATCTCTTATAGAGACATGGTTCCAAGCACATTATAAACTGGGAACTAAAATTCAGGAAACTGATTTTTTGAAAGGACAGTCAGGAAGGAAAGGGTGGTGGGGTAGGTTTGTCAGTACGGGATGGAATATATATCATAGCAAGAAATGATCTTGGACCGAAAGATGGAGTATCATAGCGGTGGAAGTGGAACATGAACACTTTTGAGTGTAGTCTATAGGCTCCTGAACAGTTGCTGCAAGATGGACAATAGATCAGGAGATAATGAGTGTACATATAAAAGGTACTACGTTAATCATGAGTGACTTTAATAATCATGTGCATTGGAATAATCAGATTGGCAAAGGTAGCCACGAGGAAGAATTCAGAATGCGTTTGCGATTGTTTCCTACAACAGTATGTTGTGGAACTGAACAAGGGATCAGACCTGTTGTATCTGGCAGTGTGTAATGAAGCAGATTTAATGAATGATCTTTGAGTAAAAGATCCCCTAGGAAACAGTGACCAAAATAAAGTAAAGTTCAGTGCTTAGTTAGAGAGAGAGAAAATTGGGTCAGAACCAACTGTGCTGTACTTAAATAAGTTGTGGAGGTGCTGGTGTTGGACCAGGGTGGACAAAGTCAGAAGTCACACGACACCAGGTCATAGGCCAACAGGTTTATTTGAAATCACAAGCTTTCGGAGCGTAGCCCTTTCCTCAGGCAATTATTTACTATATATTAATCATTTGGATGAGGAAAGTGAATGTGCTATAGCTAAGTTTGTGAATGATACTAAAATAGTTGGAAAGGCAATTGGTGAGGATGACACAGAGTCTGCAGAAGGATATAGAAAGGTTAAATGAGTGGACAAAAGTTTGGCAGATGGAATATAACTTGGGAAAATGGGAGGTTATGCAATTTGGCAGGAAGAGTAGAGGAGCTGAATATTATTTAAATGGGGGAAAAACTGCAGAAAGCTACAGCACAGAGATTTGGGGGTCTTCGCGCATGAATCACAAAAGACGACAGTCCAAGTTCAGCAGGTCGTTGGGAAGGCAAAGGGAAAGCTGGCCATTATTTTAAAGGAAATGGAGTATAAAAGATAGGGAAGTCTTTCCAAAACTAGACATGGTATCGTTAGACCATACCTGAAATACTGTGACAGTTTTGGTGCCCTTATCTAAGCAAAGGCAAAGATACTGGAGACAGTCCAGAGATGGCTTACTAGGTCGATCATGGGTATGGAGGGATTTTCTTAAGGAAAGGTTAAACTTGTACTCATTGGAGTTTCAAAGAATGGGGGCACGACCTATTGAACCACACACTATGCTTTCGGCGCTTGACAAGGTAGATGCACAAAAAGCTTGTTTCTCTTTGTTGGAGAGTTCAGGCCCAGAGGGCATGATGCCAGAGTGAGGACAGCCCACTTCAGACAGAGATTAGAAGGACTTTCTTCTCTGAGAACATAGCCAATCTGTGAAATTCTTTACCACAACAAGATGTAGAGGCTGGGTTGTTAAGAATAATCAAGGCTGATTTTTAATCAGTAAGGGAATCAAGGGGTACAGGAAAAAGGCAGGAAAGTGGTGTTGGAGATTAGTAGATCTACATGACCTTATTGGTTGGCGGAATGACACGCTTCTGTTCCTGTGTTTTATGGAACCTAAACTACTTCCCCTGGGCCAACATGAAACTGTGACACCCTTCAGTTAGACTACTGGGCAACAATCACTCCTGACTCTGACCTTAGCTCCAACACCCTCCATCCCCAAACCCCTACCAGGCAAAATCTAATTAGCCTCCCAAACATAAAACTACCCAATCTGAGTACACTCTCCCCCCACCCCAACTATATCTTCCCCTCCTCCATTGCCTTGGCCAGACCCCATGACATCCCCTCAACTACAGCTCCCAACCAATCCTGTGCTGCAAGCCATATCCTCCAACTACCTGATTCTCTGCCACCTGACCAGGTCTGACCACACATCCTAGACCAGATAACTTTCACAATTT